AAAAAGAAGACCTACAAAAGATTGCTTTGGCTGTTCGGGGTCTTTTGTGGGTCCCGGTGACTTCTGGGATTGTTTGTTCTAGTTCTGTGAGGAATGTCGTGGGTATTTTGACGGGGGCTGCGTTGGATCTGTGGATTGCTTTGGGTAGTGTTGATACTTCCAATCCAAGAGCACAAGAAATCTTTCCATTTCTTGTGTCATTGGTTTTCGGAGTCTAAGTAACCTCCTTGGTTAGGTTTATTTCTGGGTATTTTGTTGTTTTCGATGTAATGGAAATGTTTATGCCAGTTACAAAATTCTGGTTTTTGAAGTGAAAAAAAGGTGAATGATAGGCCACAAATGGCAAAATATCCTTCTTTCTTATGAGTGAGCTAATGTATTCCATTACATATATATATATATATATATATATATGTTGCATCTTCATTACCTATTCAACTATTGATGTGCACTTAGGATGCTCCCAAGTCTTGGCAATTATAAATAATGTTGCTATTAACAGCAGGGTATATATATGTCTTTATGAATTAATTCTTATTTTGTAGTTGGCTTTATCCCTTTGATAACTATGTAAGTTTAAAAAGCCAAAGCTCTAAACATTCTTAGAAACAATGAACAGTACATATATGTAAATTAAAAAAATTCATGTGCAGTTAAAAAAAAAGAACTGAGCTATCAAGCCATGAAAGACATGGAAGAAACTTAAAAGATGTATTATTGAATAAAGCAAGTATGAAAAGGCTAAAAACTGTACGATTCCAACCAAATGACATTCTGGAAAAGGCAAAGCTACAGAAACAATAAAAAGATAGTGGTTTCCAGGGGTCTGGGGAGAGGGAGGGAAGAATGAATAGATGGAGCACAAGGGATTTTCAGGGCAAAGAAATTATTCTGTTCGATACTATAGTGGTGGCTACATGTCATTATGCATTTGGCAAAATCCATAGAATGTACAACATTAAGAGTGAACCCTAATGTAAACTATGGATTTTCGTTGATAATGTGTCCATGTCGGTTCATTGATTGTACCAAATATGCCACACTAATGAGGGATGTTGAGGGTAGGGGAGTATTTATGTGTGGGTGGGGAGTGCTATTTTCTGCTCAATTCTGGTGTGAACCTGAAACTGCTCTAAAAAATAAAATCTATTAATTAAAAAAAAGGTCAAAATAAGTCAAAAAATAAAAAAAGAATGAGTGTTTCCACTGCCTATGCCAGAAGAGTGTTATCAAACCTTTTGTTCTTTTCTATATGATAGGTGATAGATAAAAAATACACTCAGAATGTGTCTACTTACACTGTTTTTAGAAAGGTTAGAAACCTTTCTATATATTCAAAACATGCTTATATTTCTTTTGTTTCTGAACTATCTTGTTATATATCTTTCCCCCATTTTTCTATTGTTTTTATTTTCTTATTGATTTGTAAGAACACATTAAGCAGTAAGGAAATAAATCCTGTAGCTATGGTATGAATTGCAAATATTTTTCCTTGCTTATCATTTGCCTTTGACTACTCATGGTTCATTCTGTCATTCAAAACCTTTTTTTTTTCCCTAGGATTCTGGGTTTCATGTTGTAGTTAGAAAGGTTTCCTCTTGCCCTCAAACTATTTTAAAAATCCTCCAGTTTCTTCAACTGCAGTAAT